CAGAGACAGATACGTCAGCTAAAACGTCTCAAAACAAAAGTGAACGAGAGTGCACACACAAATTTTTGAACTAACCTTTTTTCACAGTCTGAATATAGCTTATCACAAAATATTAACGCGTCTGACAAACTCAACTGTTTCTACTGATCCACAGAACATACTTCCCCGCGATCGCGAAACGAAAGGATGAGCGAGGTAAATATTTCACCTCAAATATGGTATTGTGAAGGTGAAATTATAATGTGTAATCAGTTGTACTTGTAAAGTAACTAATTGAACACTTATATTTATTTTAACAATGAATAAGTTAATTGATGGCATTACAAATACTGTTGTACAAAATACTTTAAAACATGATTTAATAAAAGAATACGAGATTTCTTAAAAACAATGACTAATAACAAATAGGTATTGATATTTAAATACTTAAAAACAAATATTTGAATAATTAAGGCAAAATTTATACATAAGGAAAAAAATAAACTTATAAAAATGCTGATTAAAATTCAGCAACTTCTTTGTCTGGCAATGGACAAAGATCCATGATATTTTTCTTATAAATTCCTTTTTTTGTTTTAGTTGAAGCCACACGCACCACACCATCGTCTCCAGGGTGAATCTCAATCACTACGCCTAACCTCTAATCAGCGCAGGACATTTTTTTTTCAGTAGAAATACAACTGAATTTAATTTGATCTCTCCTTTCTCTCCCTGCCATTTCTGTCTTTTTTCGAAGCTTATTTAAATACTCAATATACCATCACTTCAAAAAATCTTCTCTTGCTCTTGAAATGAAGTTCCAAGAGGACAAACGGTTTTCCGGAATGTCAAAAAAATCATAAGTGGGTAATAGAGTAATAGGCCTACCTATTAATGAATGTGCGGGAGTGAGAATTTGTGGATCGTTTGGACCGGACGACAAAGAAAAAATAGGCCGTGAATTTAAAATGCCTTTGATTTCGGTAGCTAACGTACTATATTTTTCAAAAGTAAGCAATTTTTTACCGATGACTTTGTTTAGGTGATGCTTAAAAAGCTTTACTGTAGCTTCCCAGAGACCGCCAAAATGCGGTGATAAAGGTGGAGAAAAATTCCAAACGATATTTTTTTACATGGCGTATTTGTTTAAATCACGTTGAAAGTCTCTGGAATTTAAAAAATTATATAATTCTTTCAAATTATTTTTTGCTCCGATGTAATTAGAGCCGTTATCAGAAAATACATGCCCAGGAATTCCTTGACGGGCGATAAAACGCCTAAAACCTCCGAGAAAACCTTCGGTAGTGAGATCACTAATAATTTCAATATGCACTGCTTTTGTGCTCATGCATATAAAAACTCAACCATAGGCCTTTACTTTATTACGATTTCGAAATTTTTTTTCTTTAATAAATATTGGACCAAAAAAATCTGTACTGACTTTGCTAAATGCCGGTGCAGGATTAACTCGAGATTCTGGTAAATTGCGCATTTTGGCATGAATTTATTTAGGTTTACATTGAAGACAAGTCACACATTTCCAAACTATTTTGCGTCCTTGATTTTTTCCGTCCAAAATCCAAAATTTGTGCCTAATAAAACTTAAAGTGGATTGAATACCTAGGTGCCTATTTACATATGAATTTTACGTATAATCAGATCAGTAATAGGATGCTTGGAAGACAAAAGTATCGGGCATTTATAATCGCTGGAGACCGAAGACTTTCGAAGGTGGCCACCCACCCTTAAAAGGCCATCTGCATCTAAAAAAGGATCAAAAGCCTTTAAACGCGATTCCTTTCCTTGTTTGACGAGATTTACTTCTAACGAGAAACGCTCTGCTTGCATGAGTCGTAAAACCACCGTTTCTGCTCCCAACGTTTCTTCTACGCTAATATCTTTTCTACGAAAATGCCGACTTGCAACCTTAAATCGTAGACTTCGAGCTATAAATCTAGTCAAACAATTAAAATCGGAAAATCTTGAAAACAAATCATTTTGAATGATAGTAGCTAAGCAATTTTTGCGTCAAATAGAGTTAGAGGCTGTAATAATAATGCCATTAGGCCATTGCGATTCGGACTTTGCTAACCAATTGGGACCCGAAAGCCATTTTGGATTTTGTAAAAATTTAACAGGAGTTTGACCGCGAGATAAAGCATCGGCGGGATTGTCAGGAGATCTTACATGTCGCCATTTTACTTTACTATCAAGCATTTGAATTTCCTTTACTCGATTTGCATTGAAAACTTCCACGTCACGGGGTGATTTTGTAAGTTTATGAAGTACGATAGTTGAATCGCACCAGAAAATAATATTTTGAATAGGAAATTCAAAAGTTTAATAGCTTCCTCGAAATAATCTAACAAGCTATAAAGCGCTGCATAATTCTAAGCAAGGTATGGTAAATGAACCTTTAATAGGTGTTACGCATGATTTAGAACATGCAAGATTTACCATAACCTTACCATCCTTGTTTACTGATCTTATATAAAAGCAAGCGCCATACCCCAATTGACTAGCGTCACAAAAACTGATAACATCTACTTGGACAAAATTATCAATGACTAATTTGCGTTCAATCATAAAATCTTGTGTTAGACCGATTTGATTTATAAACTTTGTCCAAGAAGTGTGCAATTCGCTTGGAACTGATTCATCCCAATCGATCTCCGTGCGCCAAAACCTTTGCATTAAAACCTTGGCTGCGAAAACGACCAGTCCTATCAAACCTAACGGATCGAAAATTCTCGCGATTTCTGAGAGAATATGCCGCTTACTTATTTTTAGCGTGATTATAGGCCTGACTGAAAAAACGAACACATCCCGTCTTGAGTTCCATACGATTTCAAGTGTTTTTGAATTAGAAATTGACTCTTTAATTTGCTCTCCGCGAAATATTTTTTCTTCGTCATTGTAAAAAATGTATGGATCATTTGAAACCCATTTTCTAATATCAAAACCAGCTATATCTAGCAAACTAATAACCTGTTTTCGTATTCGTCGCATTTCATCGAGTGAATTCGAACTAGTAAGAAGATCGTCAACGTAAAAATGACGTTTTAAAACGTTTTGTGCTAAAGGGAACTTCGCGCCTTCGTCTTCCGCTAATTTTTGTATAGTTCTAATGGCCAGAAAGGCAGCTGAAGCATTTTCAAAAGTTACTGTGTTCATCTCAAAGGGCTCAATTTATCCGTTACTGTCATACCAAAATAAACGCTGATACTTTATATCCCGAGGATCTACTAAAACTCGACGATACATTTGCGCTATGTCTGCCGTCATGACGAAAGCGTAAGTTTGAAATCTCAATAAATGATTAAAAAGCTTATCTTGGGTGGTAGGGCCCACCATAAGCACATCATTAAGTGAAAATCCTTTATCATTTTTACAAGAAGCGTTAAATACGGCTCGTACTTTAGTAGTAGAACTCGATGACTTGAGCACTGGATGGTGTGGCATAAAATAACCTTGTTCGCTTTCGTTTTGGACGATTGACATATGCCTCTGATCTATATAGTCTTGCATAACTCGAAAATATTCGGTTTGAAGTTCAGGATTCGTGTTTAAACGTCGTTCAAGCGAATAAAATTGACGTAACGCTGTAATTTTTGAATTACCAAGGTCTGTTTTATCTACACAAAACGGCAAATGAACGACATATCGCCCACTGGGATCTCTGGTAATATTTTGAATGTAATGACTTTCGATTGACGATTTTTCTGCTCACTTGAAATCTTTTTTACATGGGATTTCTTATATTTCCCAAAATTTAGTTATAATTTTTGTCAACTCCTCAAACTGTTTTTCACGAGAGCTTTTTGCTTCGAAAATGGTGTAATTGCAAAAAAAAAAATCTTTAAAAAAATTGCGTTGAAGCCCTCCAGCGATAATCCAACCTAATAACGATTTCTGAGCAAAAAGATCACATGGATCGGTAGCTAGTTTTATTTGGCCTACAGAAAACAGCGAAAATGTAGCTCCTGAACCAATTAACAAGTCAACACCACTTGGCATGTGAAATCGCGGATCAGTGAGTTGAATATTATTCGGTAATTTAATCAAATGACGCGGAAACTTTTCAGAAGGTATCAAATTTGCAATCCAAGGAATAATTAAGCACGTAAGTATTTTAGAAAAATTATTGTAAATAGATTTAATTTTTATATTAACGCTTTGGTTACATTATGTACCTAGCTCGTTTATTGCTCCGATTGTAACAGAACAATTTTTGAAGGGCAAGTCTAATGAATTAGCTAAACGGGACGAAATCAAATGCACGGTAGAGTACGTATTAAGCAAAGCGGGAGTGCGTATAAACTTTCTCTGCGCATTTAAAACGTTAACGCTAGCTGTTGCCATAAGCTGAGAGTATATATTACTTATAGTTGAGCTTGACCCTTTTTTTCCTAGTCAAAAATTAGCAGCGGACGTATAAGGATTTTTAGACGATTGAACTGTACTAGAAGAAGGGGTCATGTTTGCCATACTGTTTATCTTTGAATCATTGTGTAGCAAGGTATGATGCTTTTTATTGCATCGTTTACAAAGACTGGATTGACAAACTCCTTGATGAATTCGTAAACAATTCGAGCACAACTTTTTTTCTTTAACAAGTGACCAACGTTGACTAACATTGAGCTTATTAAAATCGGGACACCTAAAGAGAAAATGCTTGGAACCGCAACAAACGCAAGCGATCTTCGTATTGGTTGTCAATACGCAAGCTTCTACATCTTTACGCTGAAATTTCTTAGGACGCGAGTTGGTGTGTTCAAATGTGCGCTTCTGACATGATTCGGAGTTCTTGGGAGCTGACTCTAAAACACTAACCCGAAAAGATGCTTCTTGTATAAAATCAAGTAATTTTTGCAAACTTGGAAGCTCGTCAAGAGAAAGAGATTCCTCCCATGTGTTACGCGTGGGAGCAAGAAGAGTCCTTTCGATAGTTTGAATTAGCTGACAATTTTGCCCTTTGATCCCCAGAGCAGTCAAAGCAACGAGATGTTGCTCTACTGTGTCTACCAAAGCTGACAAACCGACTGAGGTTGCTTTTGCAAATGAGGTATATTGATGAGTGCGTCTAAATCTTTAGAAATTAGCACATGCTTTCTTTCGTACGAGTCTGTAAGAAGCTTCCAAGCCTTTGCATAGTTTTCAGCTGACAAACCAAGAGGAGCTATTTTAGTTAAGGCCTCACCACGCATTGCACTCTTTAAATAAGTCAGCTTGGTAACATCATCCAGATCCGTACGGGAGCGTATGATCGAACTGAAAGCATTTTTGAAAGAAAGCAATTTGTCGATAATTCCGTTAAATAACGGGATCTCAGTAACCAGAAGCTTTGGAAGCTTTGTTTTTTCTGAAAAGGTAGAGTTTGCTAACGCGATACAAGAAGGATCGACGCCTGTAGGAGGAGGCCTCAGTTCCTGGAGTTTACCGTCGATTAGGAAAAATTTGCTTCGCCAATTTATTAACTCGCCAAATTGAACGTGATCTGATTCAAGAGAAGCTAATTCATCATGCAGCTCTTCATATTTTTTAAATGCATTTGTTAAAAATTCTAAACAAAGAGCTGCATTATTCGGAGAAACGTTACCGTCATGTAGCGCGGTTTTGGCTTCCAAAAGCTGACTGTTTAAAGAAACTCCCTTTTGCACAATAAACGTGATACGTTTTACTTGAGCCATATTTGCAAGTAAATTTTTAAAAGCGATGTAGAATTTTTAATGCATAAATTGCAAACTATGTGTGTAGCGTGACGAACAAAAGATGTGGCAAAGGTTTGGAACCAAGCCCGTTTTTTGAATAAAGATCGTACACGTTTGCACCCTCGCCGTACTTCAGGACGCAAATCTTGGTTCTTATGAACACGAGGTTATGCAAACGTTATAATCTCCCACACGGACACTAATACAAAAAAAATGGCAGTTCGAGAAAGTTGACAATCAGTAAATTAACAGAGAGCTTATCTGTCTTATAATGAAGACAATGCCGAAGGCAGCGCTGAAGGAGGGCAAGGAGCATCCATCGTAGGAGTAGGAAGTTAGCATGGTGCGGGGCGTTGGTGAGGAAAGGAGGTGGTTGCAGAATGTCTCGTGTGCTACGTGGTTGACAGGAGATGTTGCGGCTTGACGTGGCTTGTACCTCACAGGAGGCACCATGAAATGTTGCGTATGCGACGGTTTCAAAGTAAAGTTTTAAAAAAGAAAGTAAGGCATTAAAAAATGATAATAAAAATTGGTTGTGTATGTTAACGTCGCAGAGAGAGTAAGACCCCAGAGGTCAGGCGTCGCTCTCTTAATTGGCACTTACGTAGTTAAAGTTCAAAAAGACGCTTACGGCTATAAAGTCAATAAAACACAGCATGAACAGGAAAAAGCCTTTTGGCAAAAAACCTGGTTTATTCGAGTTAAAGAAATGACATTTCGATTATAAATAATAAAAGATAAATTTTAATAGTATGTGATGAAAGAGAATAAGTAAAATGATGCGTAAGTTATTTCTGAATACCTTTTGGTTAGGTTGTAGACCAAACTCTTTCCCAAGGGGGAAAGTCGATCAAGGGGAGCCATTGCTCTAAGTTAAGGGATTGCTGGCCAGGCAGATCCGCGTTTTCGTCGACACAAAATGATACGTCTAGGAATAGACATTTTGAGGTGCCGTGGGCAACCGGAAGATCGACAAAATGTAAAGGTTACAACAGTCGAACTTTTTTGTGGGTTAGGAGAGACAGATACGTCAGCTTGAACGTCTCAAAACAAAAGTAAACGAGAGTGCACACACAAATTTTTAACTAACCTTTTTTCACAGTCTGAATATAGCTTATAATAAAATATTAACGCGTCTGACAAACTCAACTGTTTCTACTGATCCACAAAACAGACGACTTTTCCTGCATCCTGAGAGTTGGTGATTGGTGAAGACTCAAACAACTGCTTGCAAACTTCCATTTCCAAACGCTCCGTCGGTGTAAACGATACTCGACGTGAATCCATGTCGACGAATGAATAAGTTTTTAAGGGACTGACACCTCATTTAAATAGGCAGTCAAACAGCAACGCTGAAAAATTGTTGTATTACAAAAGGTTACATTATGTCTGCTACTATATCTCTTCTTTGAATGCAAAAAGCATTATACATATAGAAATTCATTATAAGGTTAAAACTGCGTCTTGCATCTATTGGACCATCATTAAGCAGAAATCTATAAGTAAGTTAAAATTGTATTAGAAAAAGATACAATTATGAACGTATCCATCACTCTTTATCACTCTTCTTCAAACAGCATTATACATGGGAAAATTCATGAGTAGGAAAAAACTGCATTTTGCAGCCATTGGACCATCACTGTGTTAAAAATTATGAGTATAGGAAATTGCACATCCGAAACACACCCCTCCCCTCCTAATACAAACATGTGTTTGTACGCAAGTTAGTCATGCACTTGATTGTTTTCAAGTGGCAAAATAAATTTGTACACTCCTACAACAGCATTTAAAGAAGCAACAAGTCTGAAAGAGAAAAACAACTTACAAGGAGCTCACTTCCAGAAGAAAAAGGAATATCAACGGTAGTTGAAACAGAAGCAGTAGTGAAGGAAACAGCATCCAAGTATTCCATAAGTTTGACGCAGCAAAAGTAAGAGTGCCTTAATTTAAAATAATAAAATCTTTTTCTTTTTTCCCTTACATAGTTCGCTAAATCTGTATTTCTAAAGTTGTTTCTACTTTTTCCCAAACTCGCTTGACTAAAACTATCTTCCTGAAAAACTTTTCGTTGAAAAAATATTTTTTATAATTTTTTTCTGACACATTTTACTTAACCTACTAGAATTANAGAAATAGTAGTTTTCCTACGAGTTTGAAAAGTCTCTGTTTGCGAACCGAGAGGTTTGCGGCCCGAGCCGAAGGCGAGGTCCGTAACGAGGTTCGTAAAGGAGACTTTTCGAACGAGTATCGGAAAACTGCTTTTCTGCCCGAGGAAGTACCAGCCTCCCAAAACCACCCGAGGGCGGAAAAATATTTTTTTCTCGCAGTTTGTTATATCCATATACATACGTTTGATAGAAGCTGCCTTTCATGAATTATTTTTACATTTCTTAAGCGCGATTTAACGCAACAAAGGTGAGAGTGCTTTGATTTTAAAATCGTGAAATATTTTTCTCTTACAAAGTTAACGAAATCTTTACTTCTGAAGTTATTTCTACTTTTTTTAGTGAAAATTTTTTTTCCTGACACATTTTACTGTAGCTACTAAAATTATCTTTTTTTTAAACGAAAAATATTTTTTCTTACAGTTTATAATATTCATATTCATACCTTTGATACCAACTGCTTTCTTCTTTTTTTTAAACGCGCTTAACTTAAACTGTATTTCTTAAAAAAATTGTCTGAGTGAAAATATTTTTCTGGCGCATTCCCCGTTTATTTATTTTTATTCTCAGTGTAAAAATAACTCTTTCTTTTACGTGATTCATTACATCTACTACATATGTTTTATTAACCCTGCCTTTAAATTTTTTTGTTTATTTTGCAAACTTAAACTATTTTTTTTCGTTNACGTACTTTTTTTTTTTTACAGCATTACGATGGTTAAGACAATATCAACTTATCATTTAGGACAAAATTCAACATCAAGTCTATAGATCGATCAGCAGAAGAAAAAGGAACAAAAAAGATAAAAAAAAGGTATCGTTCGATATTTTTTAGTTTTTCCAATTTTACTTTCTCATAATACAACATCATTTTTAAACTCAAAAATTTTTTTACAAAGCAGATGCCAGTATTATATAAAGATATCTTCGACCAAGGGTGCCAAGATTTTTTTCTGCTGCCACCACCAGTTTCACCAATTCAATCAGATGGTCCTCTATGGTGGCTCATTGATGAAGAGGAAGACGACGAATTACCTCATTAAAATCAAACACAATCAGAAGAAAAATTAAGAGTCCCAGCAATAAAAGAAGAAGATGACCCTGTAATACAACCTACAATAGAAGAAAATGAAGTAAGGGATATACCACTATCATCTCCTATCTCATAGAGCGAGTGGATGGAGCTGTACAAGCAACTACTGCCACCTTCTCCATCAACACCACCATTACCACCCGCTCCAACACTACCATCACCATTTGAAGAATCACTGCCACTACCATTATCACCAACACAACCACCAACATTATCATATCAGCAGCAGCAGCAGCAGCAGTCACCATCGTCGATTCGACCGCTGCAAGAGAATATTGAGGAGTGGACAGGAAATGATTAAAAAAAACTGGATATGAGAGTCCAAATCTTGCTAAAGCGGCAGGAGTTAAAAGTAAGGGCACGAAAAATCATAAAAATGATGAAGATACAGTTTAAAGTGATCGAAAATAATCGAAACAAATTAGAAGAAATAGAGAAACGTCAAGCTGCCCAGATAAAAAAAAAGCGATGGAATTAAAAGAGAAAAAAAGAAAAAGAAAAACTCTTGAAAATAATTAAAAAAATATTGATGTTAAAAAAAGGTTATAGTTGAATATTGGACATTAAATTTGTAATTTTGTAAGAACATTGTAAACATGTGTAAGAATACTGTATTATTAAATGTGATTAATATTATTTAATTTTTTTTAATATCAAGTCTTTTATTTTAACATAATGTTAAACTTCTTTTTAGATAAGAAAAAAAACTTTTACAA